AGTGTGTAGTGTCTCTACTTTAAAGAGTCCTCTCCTGCTGATGTTCAGGTGTATATCAGTGTGTAGTGTCTCTACTTTAAAGAGTCCTCTCCTGCTGATGTTCAGGTGTATATCAGTATGTAGTGTTTCTACTTTAAAGAGTCCTCTCCTGCTGATGTTCAGGTGTATATCAGTATGTAGTGTCTCTACTTTAAAGAGTCCTCTCCTGCTGATGTTCAGGTGTATATCAGTATGTAGTGTCTCTACTTTAAAGAGTCCTCTCCTGCTGATGTTCAGGTGTATATCAGTATGTAGTGTCTCTACTTTAAAGAGTCCTCTCCTGCTGATGTTCAGGTGTATATCAGTATGTAGTGTCTCTACTTTAAAGAGTCCTCTCCTGCTGATGTTCAGGTGTATATCAGTATGTAGTGTCTCTACTTTAAAGAGTCCTCTCCTGCTGATGTTCAGGTGTATATCAGTATGTAGTGTCTCTACTTTAAAGAGTCCTCTCCTGCTGATGTTCAGGTGTATATCAGTATGTAGTGTCTCTACTTTAAAGAGTCCTCTCCAGCTCTTTTCACCCTCTGTCTGAAACCAGAGCCCAGTCTGCTCTGATTGGTTAGCTGGCCGTCTCTGTTGTGTGGTCAACCAGCTTAGAGATGTCCCGCCCCTTAGCCTATCACGTTCAATGTTTCGGAGCGCTAGCCAATAGGAGCACAACTGTTACATAGTGATTTCACTATGTGCCACCTTTTGTAGTTGTTTTTAGTTTCCTTTGGGTTCATCTCGTTTCTCTTCGGAGCCGTTTTGCACCTCTTTGTAGATTGGTCTGGTCTCTTTGTTTTTTCAGCTGTTTCATTTGCATGTCTTTGTATTCTTAGGATCTCGTAGAAGATGTTTTTCTTTGTGGTCCATTTGAGTCTCTCTCTCTGGTTGCTACCTTTTCTCTTTGAGGGACATTTGTAGGTGAAAGCCAGTAAGACACTAAGCCATGCCAAATAACTACATTTTCCACATGTTTTTATCTCCTTTCTTTCAGATTCAAGGTTTCCCTCAACCATCGTCTGCATCATGTGAGGACATCACCATCCCTCTGTGCAGAAGCCTTCCCTACTCTCAGACTGTGCTGCCGAACCTCCTGGGCCACGTCTCTCAGGCGGATGCCGGCCTGGAGATTCATCAGTTTTTTCCTCTGGTTAAAGTGGGCTGCTCCCCTCACCTCCAGCCCTTCCTGTGCTCCGTCTACGCCCCTGAGTGTGTGGTGGGGACGCCCCGGCCCCCCTGCAGGACGCTCTGTGAACACGCTCGCTCCGGCTGCGAACCTCTGATGAAAAAGTTTGGTTTTGTGTGGCCGACAGCCCTCAGGTGTGAAGCCTTTACCACCGAGTCCTGCGAACACGTGAGTCTGCTCTCTGAGGACAGATGTTTACGAAAAACTCAAAAGTATATGTGTCTGATTTCCAGTCAGAATATGTCCTCATACTTGATATAAGACCTAATAACTTAAGAAGTAACAATGCAGGGAGATATAGAGTCTTGTCTCTCACATGAAACATGTTTTTTTAACTGTGGTATTCGTAAAAGAAGCATCATCTTGTTTCAGGAAATGAATCTAACTTGATTTTAGAAAACACATTTTTATTGTAAAATCACCAACTAAGATCAGGACACTTCTGAGCATTTATGGCTTTAAAAACAGATGGTAGTTATGGGTACTTTTTACTTAAGTACATTTCAAAGCCCAAACTTCTTTACTTTTACTTGAGTAAAGAAGTTTAGTCAGTACTTCTACTTTCACCAGAGTATTTTTAAACACGAGTATCTGTACTTCTTCAACTAGTAAAAGGATGTGTGCAGAGGTGGGAAGTAGTGGAGTACAAATACTTTGTTATTGTACTTAAGTACATTTTTCTGGTATCAATACTTTACTCCACTACTTATTTTTCTGAGTACTTTTTACTTTCTACTTCTTATATTTTGAACACAAATACCTGTACTTTCTACTTCTTACATGTTGAACACAAATACCTGTACTTTCTACTTCTTACATGTTGAACACAAATACCTGTACTTTCTACTTCTTACATGTTGAACACAAATACCTGTACTTTCTACTTCTTACATGTTGAACTCAAATACCTGTACTTTCTACTTCTTACATGTTGAACTCAAATACCTGTACTTTCTACTTCTTACATGTTGAACACAAATACCTGTACTTTCTACTTCTTACATGTTGAACACAAATACCTGTACTTTCTACTTCTTACATGTTGAACACAAATACCTGTACTTTCTACTTCTTACATGTTGAACACAAATACCTGTACTTTCTACTTCTACATGTTGAACACAAATACCTGTATTCTACTTCTTACATGTTAGTCTGAATGTGTGTTTGGTGGCGTGATCATTATTATTTAGAGTC